TAGATAGATAGATAGATAGATAGATAGATAGATAGATAGATATTGAAATGCATCCTGGCCCATTTGTTTTGGAGTGGTTGTCTTTATTTAGGGAGACTAGATTTTAGGTTTCATTTTTTAAATTTTAAGTAAAAAGTATATTTATATTTTAACCACCCCTCTCACACTGACTCTTAGATATGGGCACCATGGACCCCCGTGATCCCAAAGGAAAGAAACAGTTAAAAGACAAAGGATGGATTTTTAACTCTTAGTTAAAAAACTATTTTTTAATAAACAAAGTATATAAGGTTTCTAATAATCCTGATAGCTGGGGACACTTAAATGAACATAACAAAAGCTTGGGACTCAAGAGGATAATCAATCAATCAAATTAATTTTATAGCTCATTTCAGCAACAAGGCAGTTAAAAAAAACTTAAAACAGGACTATTTAGTTGTCATAAACCTTATTAAACCCGACCCCGGATAGGCGGAAGAAAATGGATGGATGGATGGAAACCTTATTAAAAGCTGGTGTCTCATATGGAAATAACCTAAGATGTTTATATTTCAATACTGTAAAAAAAATTCCGTAGTGCTGCATGCATAGAGGGGAGAGTGATTTGATAACTGAAAGAATGACAATAACGACACTAATACATTACATTGTGATGTATTAGTACAACTTAGACGCAAAATTACGATAAGATGAAACAATGTGAAATTTGACACCAAACAGAGCTACCATAAACATTTTTGCAACAACAAGAGAAGAAAAAAATCAAGAATTTTAAAGATCACATTTTAAGTGTGTATTTCCAAAGATTACACCATACAGCATTTTTGTGGCAGAAGAAATTGCCAAAGTTTCCAAGTGTTTTTCCGACAGGGTATTTTAAATTATGCTAAAAGATATTTGAACAAGTGAAGAAATTTATTAGTCATTTAGAAACTGATTTTAAAAAGCACCACACCATATTCATAGTTTTCTTTTTTAAGTATTGATTCTTATAATCTATTGTCTGACTATTGAGATGTCTTAGGTTTAGATACATGCCAGAAACAACATCACAACATATAAAAAAAATGTAGGACTGGATGTCTGTACGAGTGTCTGCGATTCAGCCATAGACCTGTAATGGACATACCAGGCGCTGAAGAAACATGTATATATAGACCGGGACTTCCAGTTTTCATTCAGCGTTGGTTTCACATCTGCAGAGAGAGCATTAAACCACTGTTCATTCCAGTCACTGGTGTTGTATGGTCCTTCTCTTCACATTGTTATCTATTCAACATTCATGTGGTTTCGTCATGATTTCAGTTAACGAACACTAAATTTAATTTTCTTATTGTTGATGCAAAAACGTTTGTTGTATCTCTGTGTTTGGTGTCATATTGCCAAAGTAAAATGCACTATTGAGGAACCACCATTTTCTCGTAGCAAGGAAGAAATTTTGGCTTCATTAAGCATACACACAAAAAAATAGAGGTACAGATATGGACCTAAAAAGGTACAAAGGCTTTGTCGCTCCAGCTGTACCCTAGTGGAGGACAATATTGTACCTCCAAACCTAGGAACAATTTTGTACCTTATTGTCTGTACCTTTAAAAGAACATTTCTGTACCTCTAGTGGCAAATATGTACCTTTATGCACAGGTACAAAACTACCCATTAAAAAGGTACAAA